GCATATGGATATTATCCTATCACTGACAGCATTGTACTTCAGGACAGATCTTGAAACATCCTTTGTGATGATGAATGCCATGCCATTCCTCTTCAAATTGTCATTCCTGGCATAGTAGATCATATGATTGCCTGATTCCAAATAGCCAAAACCAATCCACTTCAGCTCACTAATTCCTCGGGTATCAATCCTTATGTGTTCCATTTCATTTTTTACAACTTCCAATTTTCCTAGATTCATACTTCATACGTTCCATGTTCTAATTATTAATGGCTGTTTGCAGCTGTTTCTCCTCAATTTGAGTCATGCCACATCAGCAAATGGAGATCTCGAAAGCTTTACCTTATCCATATCATCAAGGCTGGTTTTACTCTGATAATGCAGCTCTCTCCCAGTCCTGTTTTGAGAGCTTTCTAACCTAAGTGACTCATCCTCTTCCTCTGTATTGGACAATGATTCTGGGCTATTCATAAAGTTGCACAGTAATGTATCAGACAGTGTTTCTCTGCTATTCTTAAGGTTTTCCCTGGCTAATTCTTTGAGAAGTGGATGGCCTCTTCCTTCTTCCTAGTCTGTCTCAGTCTGCAAGCCATGCTGAAACCTGTGCACCATGTGCACCCCACTGGGTTTGAAACACTGGTGGCACAGCCTCAAGGCTCATACAACACATCACCACAGTAGGACAAACCGACAGACAAGTTTGTCTTCTCCCTTAGCTGTTCGAAACCTCTCCAACCTCCCCTTACCTGGATCCCTGCTACTGCCTCCTCGCTCTGTCCCAGCCCCCTGGCCTTTTTCCTCTTCTTCCCATCCCCCCCCCCACCCCGGCTTTCCCACCTTGCCGCTTTGGGGCGTGGCCTAGGTTTCCTCCCCTCATCTGGATCCCTGTGGCTGACTCCTCGCTCTGTCCTGGTCCCCCTGGCCTTTTTCTCTCCTTTTCCCCACTTTCCCACCTTGCTTGCTCATTTTGTGAGACTACCATAATTCTGTTCCAAACCTGACAAAACCTACTGCCACTGAATTGATTTTGACTCATAGTAATCCCCACTGGGTGTCAAAGGTGGTGGTATATCTTTATAGAAGTAGACTTCCCCATCTTCCATCCATGGAGCAGCTCGTAGGTTTGAACTACCAACCTTCTGGTTAGCAGTCATGCCTTAGGCGCTGCATACCAGAGCTCCTTAAACCTGATAAAGAAATTTTAATAAAGTAATTTCAGGCCAATATTCTTTATGAATACCAAAACAAAATATAAGCAAATAGAAACCAGCAATATACTTAAAAAGTTGACACATTATGACCAAGTAGAGTTTATTACAGAAATGCAAGGTTAGTTTAATATTTGTAAATTAATCAAAATAATTCATATTTTAACAGAATAAAGAGGTAATACCATATGATCATTTCAAGATATGCAAAAAAAGCATTTGATAAAATTTAATATTTGCTCATGGTAAAACTGATTAAAAGAAAAGTTGAACATGGTAACTGGAAATCTGATAAAGACTATCTATAAAAATCCTATAGCTAACATTATACTTAATGGTGAAATACTGAATGATTTCCACTAAAGTTGGAAATAAAACAAGAATGTCTATCACTACTATCAACACTATACTGGAGATCTGAGCCAGTGCAATGAGGCAAGGAAAAAAATAATAAAAAGATTGGAAAGTCACTATTCAACTTCAAGTCTTACTATAAAGCTACAATAATCAAACAGGGTGATACTGGCAAAAGAATAGACAAACAAATCAACGAAACAGAATAGAGCACCTAGAAACAGAATCACACAAATATATACAGTCAACTGATCTGTGACAAAGAAGCAAAGGCAAGTCAATGGAGAAAGGATATTCTTTTCAACAAATGGTACTGGAACACCTGTATATCCACACGTTTAAAAATTAAAAAAAAAAAAAAAAAAGAATCTATACACAGACCTTGTACTTTCTTCTCACAGTAATTAACTCAAAATGAATCACAGACCTCAATGTAAAATGCAGAACTGCAAAGCTTCTAAAAGACAATACAGGAGACAATCTAGGTGACACTGGGTTTGGCAATGAGTTTTTAGATACAATATCAAAATAAGAATTCATGAAAAAACTAGTAAGTGGGATTTTATTAAAATTAAATACTTGCTCTTCAAAAGACACCAAGAAGAAAATGAAAATACAAGCCACAGATTTGGAGAAAATATTTATAAATCATATATCTGATAAAGGGCTTGTATATGGATGTATGAAGGCCATTAAAACTAAATAATAAGGAAACAAATAACCCAACTAAAAAAAAAAAAAAAACAAGCAATTGCCTGAGAGAATGTATGGTGTGGCTGCTATGAAAAACAGTCGAGCAGTTCCTCAAAAAGTTGAACAAAGAGCTACCATATGCCCCAGCAATCTCAATCCTAGGCATATACCCAAAAGAACTGAGAGCAGGAGTGCCAACAGGAACCTGCAGATTGGTGTGCATGGTAGCTGCTAACGGGGCAAGAAGGCGGCATCTTTTGACCTCCTCTAGCTACAAAAGAGAAAAACAGAATCACCATCTGCAGCCCAAGGCCTGCTGCTATAAGGCCAGACATGCCACCACCCTCTAGCCCTCTCGCCAACCTTGATACCAATCATCCCTCCTGCGGCACCCACCACCTCTTTGCTGGGTTAGATAATTCACTGCAGTGGCCACACACAACTCACAGATTATGGGGTTTATTAGGGAAGCAAAGGGCTACAATTCAAGTTCAGGAATGTGCTCAGGATACAGTTCTTCAATAAGAACACAGTTCTTCGATCAGGACAGTCTCCCCTCTGCTGTGCCCTTAGACAGCCTCTTTGGCCCTTGGCCTCCTGGCCTGGTCTCTGCCTCTGTGGGCCACATAAGCCTATTGCTCTGTCCTGTGCCTGTTGGTTCCACTGCCACCATCTCTCAGCTGGGCATCTCTCTCAGCCGACAGGGATAGTCTCCCTCTGCCTACAGGAGGGCTCATTTTAAACCTGGCAGAGTGGCAAAACTAACCAATCCTAACATCAGAGTTTTACATACCTGAGAGAGAGTGAACTTTCCCAGAAGATTACTTTGTGCTGCTCCAACAGAAATACCCCAGATGGATGAGTTTAACAAACAGGAGTTTAAAAGCAGCTACTCAGTTGCTCAAGGCAAATTCCATCATGGAGTTAACTGCCGGTCTCATTATAGGAAATAACTACTACCAGCTGCCCAGTCAAGTTGACAAATATTCGCATGGTCCCACCCAATAATCCAGTGGGAGTTACAAAGACTATGGCTAGAAAATCCATACCATGCAACTCACTGTACTGCAGTAGCACTTTTCTCAATAGCCAAAATATAGAACCACCAAAATGTCCATCAACAAATGTATAGATGAACGAAATAGGGTATACACATACAGTGGAATGTTACTCAGTTATGAAGAGAAATGATGAAGTCCTGATGCATGCCACAACATGGATAAACCTTGAAAGCATTATGCTGAACAAAATTAATCAATTACAAAAGGACAAATACTGTATGGTTTCATTTATAGGAAAAATCCACCCCATAGACATAAAGTAGGTAAGTAGTTGCCATTGTCGGGTGGGCAGGGGGAATGGGGAGTGAATGTTTAATGGGTATAGGGTTTCCTTTTGCAGTGATGAAAATGTTCTGAAACTAAATAGTGTTGTTGATGGTTACACAACACTGTCAATGTACCAAAATGCCAATGAATCGTACAATTGAAAATTATTAAAATGGTGGATTTTGTTATGTGAATTTTACAATAAAAAATAAATAAATTTGACTTACACTTATCATCATCACAAAAATTTAATTCTATATAAATTGAGGGCTTAAGTGTGAAAAACACAATTTTAAGACTTCCGGAGAAAAACAGAAGATTAAATACAGGTAAAATGATAAATTTTACATTATGTGAATTATACTTCCAATTTAAAAAATTCAAAGGGTCAGCTAGATGGAAAATGATTTAAAAAGTATAATTATATCTGACATATCATTTTGAGTACTATTCTGTGCCCAGGCCATATATCATTGTGATTTCATAATAAAACTATCATTGCCCTCCAGGTCCCCACCTTCTCAGAGGATATTAAACCAAACCAAATCCATTGTTGCTGAGTCAAGTCAGACTCATAGTGACCCTATAGGACAGAGCAGAACTGCCCCACAGGGTTTCCAATGCTGTCTTTACAGAAGCAGACTGCCACATCTTTCTCCTACAGAGTGGCTGGTAGGTTTGAACTGCCAACCTTTCAGTTAACAGCAAAATACTCAACTACTGCCACTAGGGCTCCCTCCTTGTTAAATAAATAAGTTATTCAAGTGATGAGAATTATGACTAGAATAAAATTTAACAAAAAGTTTCACCAGCTCACATTCACCATGTGTGAGGTGTCCAAGTGTGGTATCATTTCTTTAAAAGTAACACAAAATACTTTTAATTGAGTTTGTCTACTTACCCCTAAAAGTAACATCTGGTCAGTCTTACCCATCATGGGAAACTGTCAGTCAGTGAGAACTGACTCTCAGTTCAAGACAGAACACTATTCATACTATACACAGAAACTGCTACTAGAATAAACCTACAGCTAATCTGAAATGGGGAGCTCTGGTAGCATAGTGCCCCAGGCACTTGACCGCTAACCAGAAGGCTGGCGGTTCAAACTCACCAGCCACTCCTTGGAAGGAAGGTTGGGCAATCTACTTCTGTAGTGATATTGCCTCAGAAACCCAAGGAGGGGTCGCTATGAGTCGGGTTCAACTCGACAGCAAATAACAACAACAACAACAATCTGAAATGGTAGTGTTTGCCTTGACTGAGAGGTCACTCTGCCCCAGAACCACCTCTCTCAACCAGAAAAAACTCTCAAGAACTCTGCTTCCTGACCTGCACCAAGCTCATTTCCAGCTGCAGGGAATCTCGCTCTCTCCTAGCTGTGTCCAGCTCTCCTTCCAAGCGCCGCATCTCAGACTGCACCAATGCCAATTGCTGCTGAGCCTCCCGAGCTACTTGGGCTTCCCTTTGGGTGTTCCCCTAAGAAAGAGAATTCAAACTGAAGTACGTACTTGGTTTCCTGTCTACTGGTTACCTCTCTTCCCCAATTTACCCTTCTATTTCTCTCACTCTTCATATTAGTCCTATCTCCCCAACTCTGTTTAATCCCATTCTGTGGCCTTTGACATAATGGATGCCCCCAGCCCTTCCTGCTGGCCCTATAGTCTTAATCTTGTTTCCCACATACAGTTAGGGGAGGATTATCCAATGACTACCCAATAAGCAAGGTAAGTATGGGTTTCTCATGCTAATTTACTAATCTGTAATGAACAATTTCACACATTTGTGGTTAAAAAAAAAAGTTAAACTGTTCACTAGATTAGTAAGTAAGCACAAGTAAGCCCATGCTTACCTTGCTTATTAGGTACTCTGTCTCTGTCAGGAACTGTAAATTTGAAAAGAGGTTTTGATTCTGTAGAAAGTGCTGTGGGATTAGGAGAGAGACAGATGCCAGCCAGCCTAAAAGCAGAATATTTGATGTGGTGAAAAAATGTGAAATTGTTCACAACAAATTAGTAAGTAAGCACAAGTAAGCTCATGCTTACCTGACTTACTGGGTAATTCGACAGTACATATACTTCACTCTCCACCCTTGTCCCTATACCTTCTGACACCCCATCCCATTCAATTATCTTGTCCTTCATATGTTCCCATTCCCCAATTTTTCCAACTGCTGGTTTTACCTTCTCCCTTTCCAACTGAGCCTTGCCTTCCTCTTGCAGCGCCTGGTAGCGTTCCTCAAGGTGGTGCTCTTGCTGGGCCCACCTCCGGCGCTCTTCTTCTAAGGCAGCCTGCAGCATCTCCAATTGTCGATGTTCACTGAGTTGCCCAGACCGAGCCTCATCCCGTTCTTCCTGCAGAGCCTGGCACCGCTGTCCTTCTACCTCCAAACTCAAAGTCAGGGCCTGCCTTTCCTCTTCCTATAACCCCAGGAGAAAACGAAGATCCTTAGCATGCTCTCAAAAGACAGGCAATTTGCCTTCTCCCCTACAAAGTGCCTGCTAAGAATTATGCCCCTTAAGATACAATGGTTGACAAGCCCATAGGACTGTAAGTATAATATAGTAGATAAGAGTTCCTGTTACTGAGTCAGATAGACCTGGGTTCAAATCTCAGTTTGAATGAGAGTCTTGTCATTTATTGTGTGCTTTTATGCACACACCCTCATCTGGAGGAGATAATATGAGGATCAAAGCAAAAAAACATAAAATAAAACAAAAATTATCTCAATGGAGATAATAACATAAAGATTAAAGTTAAAAAATGTATGTAAAGCATTTAGCACAGTGTCTGGCACATAGTAAGTACTTAATATACACAGTAATATACAATAGCTATCACCATCATGCCTGGCTGATGTCAACCACTCAGAAAGGGATCAGTGCAGGAGATCCTGGATAGAGTAGAACAATATAGAGCAAAACTCAAAATCATAAAAAAGACCAGGCTACTAATCTGACAGAGCCTGGTGAGACCCCCAAGACTATGGCCCCTATTGACTCATCAGGTCTGGAACTGAACTCACTCCTGTAGCTTCAAGCCAAACAACAGACAGGTATATAGACTGAACATTTGTACCAGGTAGATACGCTCCTTAGAATGACCAACCATGGGAGAACAGAAGGGCAGTATTTGCACATGGAGACAGCTCAGCAGGCAGGAGGCGCATAGGAAAGGACACAGGGAAGAGGTAACTACAGGGAGGAAGTGGGAAGAGACCTGTTACATTGTGGGGATTGCAGCCAATGTCATGAAACAAAATGTGTATGAATTGCTGTATGGAAAATGAATTTGCTCTTTCACTCAAACCAATGAAAATTAAAAAAAAAAAAAGCTATCATTATCACCAAGGAGCTCTGGTGGCACAGTGATCAAAGCATTTGGCTGTTAACCAAAAGGTTGGTAGTTTGAACCCACCAGCCACTCCATGGGAGAAAGATGAGGCAGTCTGCTTCTGTAAAGATTTACAGCCTTGAAAACCTTATGGGACACTTCTACTGTCCTGTAAGGTCACTATGAGTCAGAATTGACTCAATGGCAGTTGGTTTGGTATCACCACCATCACTGAAAGAAATTCCATGAAGACTGACAGATCAAACAGCAAACCTCCATCATCAGCACTGTTAGAAACAGCCAACTAAGACTACAAGTACCAGCATGCATGCAGCAATCATGTGTCATGCATGCAGTAAGTTCCAGACTTGGCTACTACCTCAAATGGGTAATCAACTTATCATCTCAGCTCTAAGAAACTTAAGTCTCACTCCATACCTTTTTAAGCTATATCCTAGGCCAGAGTTCCCAACCCTGGCTGAATAAAATAACCTAGGAAACTTCTAAAAGTATTTAGGTTTCCAACCTTACCATGTATCTACTGAATCAAAGACTCTAGGGACGGGTCCCAGGAATCTACATTTTAAAACAATTCCACAGACAATGTACCCACCAATGTTCTGAGGGGACAATCTGCAAAGTCTCTCAAACTTACTTGGTCTCACAGCCCGTTTATTATAGAGTACCTAGCAGAACTAATGCTCTGAGGAACACACTTTAGGAAACAATGCTGTGTATACCACTCAAATATAAACTCCCACAATCCACCAACAGCACATAGACCAATTAAGAACCAACTAAGTCTCCAGTGGAATTAACCCAGACTACTCTCACCAGAGCCTCTCTTTCTCGTTGCTGCAGTCTGGCACCTTCCTGCTCACGATTCAGGGCCTCCATGGCTTCAGAAAGGCTTTGTTCCAGGCGGGTTATTGTCTTTCAGGGAGAGAGGAACACAGAACAGAGGAACTGAGGGCAATTCCTGCACATAATACTTTAAAAAGCATTAACAAGTTAAACAACTTGAGACTCAAAGAGAAGACTACATGATGTGGGGAAAACTGGGAATATATCAACTCTGAATTGATGACAGCAGAAACAATAAAGGGAAAGGATATAGGGGAAAAGAATTGGCAGGACAGCTGTGACAACAAAGTTAATCTGTTGGGAACCCTAACTGCAGAGTTATTTGTCTCCCTTTCCATCTAGTGATCTGTGACCTAGGTACTGATGTCTTATGACCCAGGTTGCCCACCTCCTGCTGCTTGCTTCTGGTGAGTTCAGCTGCCTGGCGTTCCTCCTGAAGTCCCCGAAGCACTTCTGTCCGCTCAGCTTCATGCCGATTCCAGCCCTCCACCACTCGGGCCAGGGTCTTGGGAAGGGCAAGTAAGATGGAATTTCAAAATAACTTATCCCTTCTTCCACCCAAAGGGGCAGGGTCAACAGCCCTCTTTTCCTAACAGTCTTTATTCTAGCTCCTAGCATGTACAATGAAATGCTCGTTGGCTACCCTCTAATTAACTATTCCTTATATCCTCCATGGAGAGACCCACCTGCATGCTGCTAACCTAGTACCTTGTCCAGTTGTTCAATCATGATGTCTTTCTTGCGGTCAGCAGCCACAGCCACAGCTAACTGCTGTTGTAGCTCTAGCACGCGGGTCTGCAGGCTCTGAATATGGCGCTCACAGTGCTGGGAAGAAGGGTGAGGAGTCTGGGTGTTGCCCATCTTTAGTCTGATCAAAGCCCTAGACTTTCCAGCTCCTCTATGGAGAAATGGGCTGGAGACAGGGAGTCTCCAGACCCCAGCAAAAGAATAGTATTGGTCAAGGAAAATCAGAGATTCTAGAGCAGGAAGTCTGAGCCCTCTAACACTTTCCTCTACCTTCTCAGGAAACAGGTGTTCAGCTTCCAAGCTCTTCCTTTCTTGAATTCCCTAAGAAAAATTCCCATAAACCCTTTGGCATGGCCTATGCTACAGAGTGAGAAACTACTCCTGCCTTAAGCAGCTCATTGGACACAACGGTTAAACACAGTAAGGATAAAGGGGAAAACCTCTCATTTACACCCATGCAGTTTAAAACAGAAGAGCAGGTTCCAGAATAGCCAATGATTCTGACATTTCTTCTGCCTTGTCCCTCTCAGACATTAAAGGGTGAGGCTCCCATCAATAGCTATAAAGCTGCTGTACCAACTAGCAAAAGTTCACTGTTCATTCAACAACCAACTTATGGAGTACTTCTACAAGCTAGGTGTATTCTAGACCCTAAAGAGACAGTGTTTGTCTTAACAAGGTACTGAACCTCATGGAGCTTAGATGTTAGAGGAGAGAAACAATTAAGATATATCAGACTATGATAAACTATATGAAGAAAATAATAGAGTGATCTGACCAAATACCTGGAGGGGAAGGGGATTCATTTTAGATGTTGTTGTTGTTATTAGGTACCGTCAAGTCGATTTTCGACTCATAGTGATCCCATGTGGCATTTTAGACAAGAGTAGGTCTCTCTGAAGAGACATTTGAGCAAAGTCCCAGTTTTCAGGCCCTAAACTCTCAGCCCTTTTCAACACTCCAGTTTCCTATCTCACCTTGCGACGAGTATGCTCTGAATCCAAGGCATCTCTCAGGCCTTGAAAATCTGGAGGATTGAGTGGGGGCCCCGGCCGAAGGCTGGTATAGCGGGGAAACAACTCCTCCAGGGCTTGGGCTGAGCTAGTTGGAGATAATTCTTGAAGAGGCCGGGTGCTGAGTAAATCAGGTAAAGAATGTTAGGGTTGGGAAAGCTTTTGAGATCCACAGTCCAACTATGATATTTTACAAATGAGGAAACTGAAGTCCAGAAAGGGCCAGGGATGTGTCCAAAGTCATAAAGCTGGGTAGTGAAAGAGCCATAACTAGAACTCAGGTTCTGTGTTCACTCAATAGCACTATTCCCTCAATACCACACTCCCTGCAGTAAAGATCTCAGCAGATACAACATAATTCTTCTAGGGAAAGAAGGACTAGCTTGAGAGAAAGGTAGGTACTAGGAAGAAGATGCCCCTATCCTTGAAAGGGTAAGAAAACAGAAAAGAAATGATGAAAATTGAAAGCTAAGGGCTAAAATTCCTAGATCACTAAGAGGTATAAAAACAGTTAAGGGACAAGCAAGGAATAGAACAGTTGTATTTCCAAGAACAAAAACAAGCTAGGAGAACCCCAAGAAGAACTCACTTGAGCAAGGTGGCTGTGCTGTCACTGTCAAAGGAGTCCTCTTCTCGTCTCTCAGAGCCAGCATCTGGAGGAAGGGAGTCACCTGCAGGTAGCGAGAAGGACCCAACACCCAGGGTCAGATAAGGACAGAACAGGGACCAGTCAAAGGAAAGGATAGGTCTTTCTACTTCACCCACTCCCAAAGCATAGAAGCCTTTTCTCCTGAATTCTCATCTGTCTCAGAGGTCTAGGTTTTCCTCCCTGCTTCCTTCCTCCCACCCCTTTACATCTAGTTTCTCCTTCACAGCTCTAGGCAAGGGGTTTACTCACGATACGCTGTATCACGTGAAGTCTGGAGCATGCTCTGGAGTTGACCCCGGACACTTTCCATCTCAAAGATATGCTTGGAACCATCCTAGAAAAAAAGCAGTGAACAAAACAGATGCAACCTGTGTAATTTATAACCCACCTACTTCCAGGGTAAATGGCACTCAAAAACACCCAGAAAACCAAACCAATTGCCACTGAGCACATTTTTGACACATGGCGACCTCATATGTTGCAGAGTAGATCCGCATTCGATAGGGTTTTAATGGTTGTGACCTTTCAGAAACAGATTGCCAAGTCTTTCTTCTGAGGTGCCTCTAGGCAGGTCTGAACTGCCAACTTTTCAGTTGGTAGCTGAGCATTTAACCATTGGTACCACCCAGGGATTTCTAGATGGCACTCAGTCCCTGCCTAAAACCCAAGTATCTTTGTCCCAGCATCTAGGAAAGCCAAAACAGAACTGACTCAATAAGGAATGTCTTAATCTTGAGTCAGAAATTGGTCTACAGAAGCAGACAGGTGCTGTAATGAGTAAATATGGCAGGTATAAGGCAAGAGCACCTGAAGATTCTTGCCAAAAGAGAGCAAATACTCTGTCTAAAGTCTGTGTAGCCCATTAACTTTCAAACTTCAGAAGACTTTCCAGGTTGCAAATTGGTTATGACACCTTTTCTACCCAACACTAATTACTATCTTCTCTGCAGTATGTGTAATTGATTAGAGTGCATTTTAATGATTTACATGTCGAATTTTGAATCATACAATCATAACAGTTTTGAGCTGAAAGGATTTTAGCATTATTTTGCTGCTATTCTAAGGTACCTAATTCCCACTTGCGATTGAGAAACCTTATCCTCACTCTTAGTGATGATACATCAACCTATCTGAGAGTGCAGCTGTTACTAATAACAAAAACACTAAGAAGTATCACAATTACCCAAATTATGGTGTTCCAGGCCATTCCCTACCTCATAAACTGCTGCCAGGAATAAGCATAATTGGATTTGAAATCCAGTAATAGGATTTCAAATCTCAGGGTTGTTTTTTTATCACCCCCAACTCCAAGACTCTGATGTCTAGTACCCTAAAGTTTTCCAAAACACACACCCCTCACACATCCCTCACCTTTTTCTTCAAGTTGTTCTCCAATCCAACTGACAAGCTTCGACTCAGCTCTTGGGCCAAGCCCTCTAATACCTCATGAGGAGATGGGGAAGTGGAGGGTAAATACAACTGGGCTCGGGCTGTGGTTTCCGCCTGCCGGCTGAGGCGCAAAGACGCATAGAGCTGGGAGGTCACCTCAGACGACTCCTGGTTCAGCACAGGGGGGTCTGAGGAATCACTCAGGAGATCCTCAGAACGGAGAGGTGAACTGGGGTTGGGAGCTGATGTCGCCATGAGCACCAGGAGGAGACAAATGGAGACAGTGGAGAGCTGGGGACTCCTGGTTCTGCTTTAGATGAGCCAGGATAAAGTACGAGAAGGAAAGATTTGAGGAAACGGAAGACTTCAAGACAAGAATCCTTGGTGATTCGAGGGTATTGGAGATTTCATGGTTAGAGGAAATGTTTCCACGGATTCCAGCGGCCATGGGAGAGGGCAAAAGTATTCCTTCTCATAGCTTTTTGGGAAGAAGGGTAAGAGGACTCAGCACAGAAACGGGGTCAGATCTACTGCAGGGCTACAGCACCACCTCCCAACAGCACCTCTTGCGAACTAAGAGTGGTGGAAGTTGCAGGGAGATAAACCGCGACCCAGGCTATCTATCCTTCGTCAACCGAGCTCTTTAAATTCTCACACCCAGAACAGTACCAACTGAAACGGACCTCAATCCAATAGGGGCCTAGTTTCTGTCCAGCTGCCTTATTTGCTCCCCACCACACACATACACACACTGGCTCTAGTCTCGAGAGAGGCAGGAATCTCACGCGCCGCGCTCCTTGCCCCACTCGTTCTAGCCAGGGTCAACTCTCTTACATACCCTCTCGTACCCTTCCCGACAAAAGACCCATAACAAGGCTCTCTTCTCACCACCCCAAAAGAAACCTCTTGAACCTTCAGCCGTCAAGTGCTCAAAACGAACGCCGCCCTCACGTCTAACCTGAAATCTTCTAACCTCGACCCCAGTCTCCACCCTCAATTTGCCGGGCGGGGAACAGGCCGGGAACTGCTCCCTGCCCCAAGCCCGGGTTCGGAAAGACCTAGACAGCCCCCTTCCCGCCGTCCCCTCAAAACCGTTGGTTGCCTCCCGCCCACCGTCCGCAGCCCCGCCTCGCTTCGATGGCGTCACCGGCCCGCAAGCCCACACTTGCTGCTTCTTGGTAGCCAGGGAGCCTGGAAGCGCGTGCGCGACTCCGGCGACCACAGATTGGCTACGAGAGAGAGGCGGAGTCTGGCGAGAGGCGTTGGGGCGGAATTATTGACCCCGAGCTGCAGCGTGAGGACCCCCGCCGGGGCGTGGCTCCGCGGAAACCGGAAGTGGCTCCGACAAGCACTCGGAGCAAGTCCGGTGAGTCCTGAGGAGCAATCCAGAGCTGAGAGCTGGAGCCCACCGATTGGGGACGGTTCCGGAGCGAGGCTCATACTCCCTGGCCTGTAGATGACGGTCCACAATCTGTACTTGTTTGACCGTAACGGAGTGTGTCTGCACTACAGCGAGTGGCATCGCAAGAAGCAAGCGGGGATCCCCAAGGAGGAGGTGATGCAGGGGCCCCGGCTCAGCCCGAATGACCCCCTCTCTGTAAAGGCACATAGTCCCGGCCCAGTCCCGTCCTCATCCCCACGCCATCTCCCTTAACAACCGAGAGCTAATTCTGTCCCTCTTCCTCCAGGAGTACAAGCTGATGTACGGGATGCTCTTCTCCATCCGATCGTTTGTCAGCAAGATGTCCCCGCTGGACATGTACGCAGAGTCGGATGGGAAGTCGAGGAAGGAGGGCTAGTTTGGGGGATTTTGGAGTGAGGGAAACTATCTGGAGAGGAAGGGGTATTGGTCTCCAGAGAGGGAAAGGGGATTTAAAGAGAGGCTGAGTGTGAAGAACGGAGTGCTGCAGCTGGCAGGAGCGGCGGCGGTGGGGAAGGTCTCAAGGTACCAGGACTTAAAAGAAAGAGGGGTAGGGGAGGGGGCTAAACTGAGAGATGAGGATAATCAAGCTCCTACAAACACTGAGGTGCCTTTATTTAACCGAGTTCCTACAAACAGATGTATGCATTTAGACGACCTTGAAAGGATCAGAAGTATCTCTTTGGGAGAGATTTACTCCCATTCCTTAACATCCTCCTCATCTCTGCAGGAAGGATGGCTTCCTGGCCTTCCAAACTAGCCGTTACAAACTCCATTATTACGAGACGCCCACTGGGATCAAGGTTGTCATGAATACTGACTTGGGAGTGGGACCTATCCGGGATGTGTTGCACCACATCTACAGTGCGGTCAGTGCCAGCTCCTGGGACCCTCCCCAAAAGCTCCTCAACAGCCATGGCCACTTAGAGCACCAGGACTCTCTCAGCTTCCTCCCTAACCCTACTGTATTATATCACTATTGAAGTCAGAATTTTCTTGAGGGCTTTTAGGGTCTTAAGTACTTCCAACATCAGTTTCCCTTTGAGGGCTTGCCTTCCAACCCTAGACCCTTGTGCATTCACGAGCCCTGAGGTAATGCCAGGTTTGGGGTTGGGAACAGAAGTGTCCAAAGGTGAGCTCTAACATCCTCCCTCTTCATAGCTATATGTGGAACTGGTGGTGAAGAATCCCCTGTGCCCTTTGGGACAAACTGTGCAAAGTGAACTCTTTCGCTCCCGACTGGACTCCTACGTCCGCTCTCTGCCATTCTTCTCTGCCCGAGCTGGCTGATGGAAGAACTCTTCTCACCCTGAGAAGAATCCACGTCTGCCTGGGGACCTTCCTAAATGGAGCCATCTAAGGACTCCGCTGAAAGCCACCCCACCCCACCCCAGAACCCTCCAAGGGCAACAGTCTAAGGCTGTCTCTGGTGTCTTCCCTGCCACCAGGACACCCATAAGAGACCCCACTCCTTCAAACCAGACCCTTTGTCCTGGAGAATTTTTATCCCCTCCCTTCCTGACTCTTCTAAAGGCCTAAAATAAACTTTTTGTCACCCTGTGCAGCCTGAGTTTGTCATTTGAGTGGGCAGACCTCGTCCTGTCCCACAAAGGAAGGTGGGAACTAGGGTGGCCACATTCTCTGAGGCCTCAAAGGTTTTGCCATTTTGGACTGGGTAATTAATGCTTTGTTTCAGAAGGAAGACTGGGCAAGCTACTTCCATAGATATACCACCTTGGTAACCCAAGGAGGCGTTGCTATGAGTTGAACCAACTCCACAGCAGTGAGTTTGGTTTTCGGTTTAATTCTTTGTTTAAGGAGCTCTGGTGGTATAGTGGGTAAGGCATTTTGGCTGCTAACCAGAATGTGGGCAGTTGGAACCCACTAGCCACTGTATGGAAGAAAGATGAGGCAATCTGCTTCCACTTCTGTAAAGATTCAGACTTGGAAACCCAGTGGACCCAGTGGGGGTAGCTATGAGTAGGAATCCACTCGATGGCCGTGAGTTTTAATTCTTTGGTTGAAGGGAAGGGGTAAGTGCAGTCCTGTACATTGTAGGACTTTAACCAACAAACATCCTTGTTGTTTGTTGTTTTGTGTCGTCCAGTCGGATTCGACTCATAGTGACCCCTCCTTGGGTTTCCCAGGCAGTATCACTACGGAAGTAGGATTGCCCAACCTTCCTTCCGAGGAGTGGCTGGTGGGTTTGAACTGCCAGCCTTCTGGTTAGCAGTCAAGTGCTTTAGCCACTATGCTACCAGAACAAACATTCTTAGCATCTACTTACTATATACCCAGTCATGATGATCAAAAATGTCAAGGTACCTGCCACATGTCCCCTGGGGAGCAAAATCGCTTTGCGTTGACAACCTCTGGGCTGGAGGAATGCCGAGCTCCTCCTGCCTCGGAGGTGTTGGAACCACACTCCTCGGCTCCTCTTTTGCACCTCTCAGCGCACAGAGTGAAGGCCAGCGCCTTCGGCAGGCGGGGCTTATGGTGAAGAGCGGCAGGCTCTTCCGGGAGGTGGGCGGCTCTATGCAGATGAGGGGGCGGTGCCTGATATTGATGTACAGGGCTCGCGGCCGACGCGGCTGGGAGCCCAGCGGGTCCCGCTGCGGTTCGGGCTGAGGTGGCTCCCCTCTCCGGCCCACCCCCATCTCCGGGTTCCTACTTTCCGCGGACGGCTTTCGACCTTTACCCTCATTCATTCCACCTCCCTAGTTCTTGCGTCAGTGCCCCCGCACCCGAATATTCTCCAGCCCCCTGCGTTTCTCCCTTCCCGCCGCAAACCCCGCGACCTCCAGCAGCAGCCCGCCCCCGCGGGCCTGGTCCTGCCTGGCGGCTCCCGCCGCAGCCCCGTCGGCCTCCTAGCTCGGCCGGGGCTCTCCCCGCTGCGCCCCCGGGCGTCCGCTCTAGGGCTACCCTGTGTCCTCCGCCTCCTGCCGGCTCCGAGCCCCCTTCTGGCCCTGGCCAGCCGGCATGCAGGTGTCTATCGCGTGTACCGAGCAGAACCTTCGCAGCCGGAGCAGCGAGGACCGTCTGTGCGGGCCCCGGCTCGGCCCTGGGGGCGGTAATGGCGGTCCGGTCGGCGCGGGGCACGGGAATCCTCCGGGGGGAGGAGGGTCTGGCCCCAAGGCCCGAGCCGCGCTGGCTGCCAGACCCCCAGCGCCCTCTGGGGCCCTCCGTGAGAGCACCGGCCGGAGCACTGGCATGAAATACAGGTACGGGAGTGGCCGGGCAGCCAGCCCCATCCCCTTCCCAGACCCTTGAAGTCTGCTAGGATGGCCGCCAGGGCCCCCTCAAACTTCGCCGAAAAGGTCCCGGTTCATTCCTACTCTTCTGCCCATCACCGCCACTACTGCCTTATCTGGTCCCTCTTTTGGTCTCCGTCGATAATCCTGAGTAAGAGAGAAGCACATTTATCAAGATTGACAGGGTCCTGTCAGACCCAGGGCTGTTCCTGAGCTTTCCTTACCCCCAGGAAGGCAGAGGGTGTACGGATCCCCAGTCTGCGTCCCCCTCGGATGGAATGTCCTTGGGTCGGCGTCCTGGAGAGAGAGAGAGAGAGAGAGAGAGGAAAACGCTTCTGCTCTTGCCTGCTTGGGGCGCCTGACCCAGATACTGCTCCTACCTGCCCCAAGGGACCAGTCTCCTGCGACCTTTCTTGGGGGAGAAAGGAGTGGTACTTAGGGCGTCCTGGAAGGATGGACCACATCTCTCAAACCCGTGCTGAGGGATAGGGGCTGGGTGGAGAAGATGAAGTGTAATGCAGGTGACTTTATCTCTGTGAACTGCAGGGGCCAGAAGCTCTCAGAATTTGCAGCAGTGGGGAGAG